TTTTCTTTTTTTGTTCTTGCTGGGACCTTCCCTGGTTCTTTTCGGTGTTTTTTTTTTCTTTTTCTTTTTTTGTTCTTGCTGGGACCTTCCCTGGTCCTTGCACGGCCGGGCCGCCTGGGAAAACAGGGTGACCCGGGCGGGCCAGCTGGTAGCCTACAGTAGCTTTCTGCGGTTTTGATTTTTCTCCTGCCACAAGGGGGGGACAAGAAGGGGTTTGTGACATGACTGAACTCACAGAAGGCAGAGTCGTCCGAATCAGATGCTGATGTTTGCACTCCCTCATGTTTACGCTAAGTGACATGTATGGTTTTGTGTGTGTTACGTTTGTTTTTATGTTATCTTCTGTTGTGGTTCAAACGTCAAACTGCTACGTGTTTCCGAAGTCCGTTAACTCGTTGATTTGTCTATGCGTGATTGCAGGGGATGGCTGCCGGGCATGCCTACTATTTCCTCGAAGATGTTTATCCCAGAATGACTGTGAGTTTGCTCCCTGCCCTTCTTTACAGTGCCATGCTTTTCTCAAATTACAAGCATCAGAACTTGAGAAGTTTACTGAAGATGATTTTTTTTGTGGTGTTACCTTTGTGATATCTTACTGCGGTAAAAGTCTTCTGAATCTGTTGTGATTTCTATCTTCCGTCTTTAGGGGTCTTCAGTCATGAGTGAGTGCTTTGCCACTGTGACCATCTCTATGTCATTTGCTTGAATGTGTGTGTGTGTGTGTTTGTGTGTGTGTGTGTGTGTGTGTGTGTGTGTGTACGAGCACACGTGTATCTGCCCTTCATAGGAGAGCCGGGTAGATTGTTTATCGCGATGAGGACTGGTGTCGAAGCATCACATGATTTGCATACGCGCTCGTAAATGGCCGTGCACGGAGCGAATGTGGATCATGTGTGGAAAGTGAAAGGAGCAATGGACATGGAAGAGTGTGTGTGTGTGTGTGTGTGTGTGTGTGTGTGTGTGAGAGAGAGAGAGAGAGAGAGAGAGAGAGAGAGAATGGGTCCGGTTTGGTTCGCAACAGTATCTGCGTTCCCCTTCCCCCCCCTTACAAGTTACTACCAAAGAAAAAGACACATCCAGGTGAGTGGCAGTTCTTGTTGTGGTAAAGGCGAGAGGATTGATCAGACCAATGCGCTGAACGGACACAGTGTACCACAAGAAGCTTCAGCGAGTTCATTTCCGGCTGTTTTTTTTGTCTTTTCTTTTCTTTTGTAGCGAACGAGGTGGGGTAGATAGTGCAAAAGGCCAGAAAAACAGGGTAGAGCGAGCATGTGAAACTGCAAGGTCCATGACTGTCGCACATGAAAACCGGGGGGGGGKGGGGAGGGGGGGGGGAGAKCAAGGGGTCCTTGCATTGAGGTTTGTTCGCCTGAAAACGCTGGAGAAATCCGAGAAAAAGAACAAGAAGAGGACAGTTGCGCAAATGTACTGTCCCATGTGGCTGAATGTGTACATATTACATATGTAACCGTTAGTCAATAGATCGCGAGCTCGAATCTTGCTGGAATCAGATGGGTACCAATAATGTTGTGGAGACACTGGAGGGGCGATTTCAATTTCTATGTTAATATAACTTAATAACTTAATAAGTTCATAGGAATTGACTACACAAATCGCCGATTTTGTCAAAACAAAAATGCGGCAGAGGGTCGCCAGCACTTCCTTACTTTTTGAAGACTCTTTATGTGAGTGTGGGTAGACTATGCTGCTCGCTCAACTACTCTCCAAATGCGCAAAAGGAGAATGAATGTTTCACTAGAACGTGGAAAAAAGGTACACAACCATATTTTTTGTCTTTTGTGCTTGTGGAGAGTAGTCGGGCCAGGCCCTATGTGGTTTAATTTGGACTCGAATACTAGTCTACCATCCGGGCCGCCCTGGTCACCCTATTTTCCCGGGCAGTCCGCGGCCTTGCAAAGACCAGTGAAGGTCCCAGAAAAAAAAAAAAAAAAAAAAAAAAAAAAACCGAGAAAAAGTATGGTATGCAGAAAAATACACTGAACAACTTTTGCCTCAGGGTTACGTTTTGAGTGGCTGCCGCTATAGGAACCGGCTGCTGCTGTTATTGTTTCTGTCGTGTGGCCGGAATTGTGGAAATTAGGGTTGGACGACTTCGTTTTGCGGCTGCTGTTTTTTTTTTTTTATGTTTTGAGTGGCTGTAGTGATGGTGTTTGCCTTGGACGGCGGCTGAGGGTCTTATCTGCAGCTAGGGTTTTGCGTTGGCTCCTCCAAATGTCTGTTTCTCTATGATGCGAGGGACGCCGGACCCGGTTTCCGGTTTTTATAATTCTAAAGCGGCTGTCGCATGAACCAGGCCGGAGTGCCTGGATCATGCGACAGCTGGCCGCCCTCTCTTAAAAAAAAAAAAAAAAAAAATTCGTTACCAGATTTAAAATAAAATAAAATAATAAATAATAAATAATAATAAAAATTAAAATAAATAAATAAATAAAAATAAATGATTTTGATTTTTTTTAATTTCTTATTTGTTTTTGTTTTTTTTTGGCCCGGCCGGGCAAGTGGTCCCGGGCCTACCACTCTGGTAGGCTAGCGCAAATGACAAATATGCTTATAATCTGGTCCAATTCACGGTTGTTTGGTTTTTGTAGGGACGACGAGTACTGAAGAGCCCGGCATTCATCAAAGCTCTATTCCCACAGGAAAATATTGTGGTAATGCCTGCAGCACCTCAGAGACCCATACTAAATCAAAATCGCATCCCCAGGGATTGATCGACAAGGGGTAGCTCAGCGACTACTGAATCGAACTTTTCGGACAAGGGGTAGCTCAGCGACTACTGAATCGAACTTTTCGGAAAATTTGGGATGGGAGGAGGTGGGTGCTTCTACAGGTAAAGCCAGTAAGAATGTGCAGCAGATCCTTGTGTCCTCCTGCCAGCGGCGATCTCCCTCCATCCGACGGCTGATAAGCGTTAAGCAGACATGTGGAAGCTAAAGGGGTCCCAATATTGGCCCAGAAGCCGCCGATAGCATTACCAGAACCACGACCGATCCTTGAGAATACCGCCTATAGCACGAGGAGGCTGCCTGGAGCAGCCATGTGTGTTTGAAATTGGACAGAAATGTCGCGCTGTCTGATCGGTCTGTTGCGGCATGCTAACGTCTTCGCTCAAATAAAAAGCACTATCATTTTCGCTGCATCTGGACTGAAAGGGGGCTGAGTACGGATATAATGACCATACGTTCTATTCGGGGGAAGACGGTAGCATCGAGCACAACTGATGTGGCATGTCGACGGACCCCCGAAGGAAGAATAATTTGCTTCGGTGATGATCAGACAACTCTGAGAGAAAGGAAGGTGGTATTTGAATCTCCAAAGGGGTCGAATGGTGGTGTGTGTGTGTGTGTGTGTGTGTGTGTGTGTGTGTGTGTGTGTGTGTGTGTGTGTGTGTGTGTGTGAGA